AAAAAAAAAAGTACAAAAAAAAAAAGAGATATTAAGGCAGCCTTGCAGTTGATTCGGCATTTACCCGATCAACTTGACTCGGTAGTTTAATTTATTTTTTGCCTTTTTTTTTTTAAAATAAAATACAAATAATTTTTAGTAATTTATTAAAAAAAACAATATATACAATTATTAAAATTTGCTAGTGGTCACCCGTAACTTGAAGGTGAGGTCAACTTTTACCAAATTTTACTTTTTTCTCCCTTCTTGTCGGGTCAAACCAATTATGAAAAAGCAAACTCAATTACTCCTATTGGGCTTTAATTTGGCCTTTTATGATCCAACCCATGTGGACATTCCGATTTAACGGACCAGTAGTGCGCGTTTTCGTCACTTAAAATCAATTTTAATGTTAGATTTACAAAAATAAATCACGTTACGCTTTTGTCATTCAACGATGCTGCAGCTATGGCAGCTGGAAACACTATTGCTACAAAAGGACACATACTTAAATTACAGCCAAGCCCTCAGCTACACGAGCCAAGCCCTGAGCCAGAACCTTCACGGGCTCAGGCACCGGGGCCGCTTGAGGAGAATAAGCACCAAACTGCTTTACTTCTTGCAAGAAAATTGGAGGAGGATTTGGGTCCTGACACTGTGGATTTTGATCATGATTGGGCTGTTCACGTGGAAATTCTATCAGTACAAACAGAAAAACGCGTACAAAGTCATGGGCTATTGTCTTCTCACGGCCAAGGGTGCGGCGGAGACTTTGAAATTCAACATGGCGCTCGTGTTATTGCCTGTGTGCAGGAACACCATAACCTGGCTGAGGTCCTCCAAGCTCGGCTACTTTGTACCGTTCGACGACAACATCAACTTTCACAAGGTATTTGTTTAGGTGATTGCCACCGTCCATTGACCATTTAAAAAATATACTACAAGAGTATCCAAATTCAATTTAAAAATATCATGCAAATATTATTAAAGTTGGACCATGCATAACTAAATATATATGAAAGAGTATGAAACTTCAGCTAATTTTAAACAACCAGTCCTTTCAGATTTGAACCATTATTGTTATGAGATTCAAAAGGTGTGACAGAGATATTGCAGTTAATTATAGGAAGCTTGAGAAATTATATATGACATGTTACCGAGTTACTGATTTTGGGTGTCCATAATTAAGGAAGGTTCTCATGAACTATCCTCAAATGAATGTAGATTTTTCATTTTTAAGATGTAATATGTCTAATTGAGCAATTTAACCATTATGTCGTTAAACGAACACCAATAAAACTCAACTCATTAGTCATTTGCAAATATTAAAACTTCTCATCAATCTCCCGCCATTTTCTTCTGTAACATTGAACATGAGCAGACAATAGCTGCAGCCATAGTTGTGGGCGTCATACTCCACGTAGGCAACCACCTTGCATGTGACTTTCCAAGACTCATAAACGAGCCCGATTCCATGTACAACCGTTATTTTATTGACGACTTTGGTAAGAATAAGCCCAAATACATGGACCTTGTCAAAGGGATCGAGGGTGTGACCGGGATTCTAATGGTGATCCTCATGATAATTGCTTTTACATTGGCAACACGGTGGTTCAGAAGGAGTCTTATTAGGTTGCCTAAGCCATTTGACCGCCTCACTGGCTACAATGCCTTTTGGTATTCTCACCACCTGTTTGTCTTTGTCTATGTGCTGCTCGTCATCCATGGGACTTTCCTGTATCTCGTTCACCACTGGTACAAAAAGACGGTAAGTGTAAATATAGGATATTTCTAATAATTATTATATATGTTCGTTCTCTTTATAATCGTAAAACTTCAATTCTTTTTGTTCCAATTGTTTGGTATACAGACGTGGATGTACCTTGCGGTTCCTGTGATTCTGTATGCAGGGGAAAGGATACTAAGATTCTTTCGCTCAGGCTTCTATAGTGTTCGGCTTTTAAAGGTGATATTTTGTTTTTCCTATTTAGTTTGATTGATGAAGACATTAGTTGAAACTAACCATGGTCATACATCCTGATCTTCTAATTTATGACCTTGTCAGGTTGCTATTTATCCAGGAAATGTATTGACATTGCAAATGTCGAAGCCTCCACAATTCAGATATAAGAGTGGGCAATACATGTTTGTCCAATGTCCGGCCGTTTCTCCATTTGAATGGTAAACTACGATTCTGCAGTTACCTTGATAATCTTATCCTACTCAATTTAACTAGAAGTTAACAAGTGTGTAAGAGAATGCAGAACGTAATGTTTCCTACATAACATATTCCGGCTATGTTTTCTCTCAATTTCAAAAGACATACATTCCATGCTAATATCCTTGCATTTTATTACTTGTTGATCATGCCTCACCACACAATATGTACCGTTTGGATTCGCGCACACACATATATGTGTCAATATTTTTTTGCTTTTTTTATTTTGTTTTTTTTCACTTATGCTCTGAGCTGCAATACACAGGCATCCATTTTCAATTACCTCGGCACCTGATGATGATTACCTCAGCATTCACATAAGGCAGTTAGGTGACTGGACACACGAACTAAAGAGGGTATTTTCCTTGGCATGTGAGCCTCCTCTTGCTGGGAAGAGTGGATTACTCAGAGCCGATGAAACTACCAAAAAGAGGTATGTACATTTTTCGAATTATTCTAAAAACATGCTCTGCAGACCTGGTTTTTCTGTTTTCACACACATATCTATACATTTCTTATTTCATCATCTAAAGAAGTTACCTCCAAACTCCAGTTTGCCCAAGCTATTGATAGACGGACCTTATGGAGCCCCTGCACAGGACTACAGGAAGTATGATGTCCTCTTGCTCGTCGGTCTTGGAATTGGAGCCACACCTTTCATTAGCATCCTAAAAGATTTACTTAACAATATTGTCAAAATGGAGGAGCAGACTGTAAGTGTTAATTCTGATTATATATTTAAATTTCGTGTTATGTTTAATTTTTTTATATTGACCGCAAAAATTACATTTGTAGGATTCAACCTCAGATATTAGTAGAAATTCGGACCAGAGTGTGAGCTCGTTCGACTCAACTAACACAAAGAGGAGGAAAACTCTAAGGACAACCAATGCTTACTTCTATTGGGTCACTAGAGAACAAGGGTCATTTGATTGGTTCAAAGGCGTCATGAATGAAGTCGCCGAACTTGATCAAAGGGTAATTACACATGATCTCAAAAAATCACCCGTCTTGTATATACTTCATGGATAATAACCTTATATTTTATACGTTTTTTAGGGTGTCATTGAGATGCATAATTATTTAACTAGTGTGTATGAGGAAGGTGATGCTCGTTCGGCTCTCATCACCATGGTTCAGGCGCTTAACCATGCTAAAAACGGGGTTGACATTGTATCTGGCACGAGGGTAAGATAGTTCTTTTTTTTTTTTTTTTTTTCCCTTAGTGAACAAGCCGCATAATGATGCAATGCACTGGACTGGGCAGATCTCATGGTCCTGAAACACTCAAACTTTTTATTTTTGTGTCTATATTGTGAACATTTTCGAGCCCTCCGATTGTCTGATAGGTGATGTGCACTAACTATACATAATCGATTCTAACAGGTTAGGACGCATTTTGCGAGGCCTAACTGGAAAAAAGTCCTATCTAAGATCGGCACCAAGCATGCCAATGCAAGAATAGGTCAGCATTCAATTTCAAAAGCTTGTAAGAACACACGGTTTCTCGTTCAGCCTATAACATTCATGCATTTGTTACTTGCTACGGAACAGGCGTATTCTACTGCGGGGCACCGGTATTGGCAAAAGAACTCAACCAGCTGTGTTACGAGTACAATCAGAAGGGCTCGACCAAATTCGAATTCCATAAAGAACATTTCTAAGCCATTTTTGCTGAAGTACAGATGAGAACACATGGACTCTAATTATGGAAAGAAGCTAGGAGGCGATAATAATATTTGTATAGTTCATAGGTCGTTAATGTTAGAATTACATAACTACGAGTGTATATGTTTTGAATCTGTGATTCTCGTAGAATATCATGAGACAGCACAACTAAAAAGTGGTTGCGGTTCGAAAATATAAGACCACCACTCAGCATAAGACAAGCTGTTGGCTTTGCCCTGTGGATGACATCTGAAGATCTAAAAATCCATTACAGCATAATGGAACTGATATTATTGGACAAATTTCAGGAAAGCAAGGTGAGTTTTGTCCCTTTTTGGGTTTCATTGGACAAATTTGTGTTCAATTCTTAATTCATTTGGCTTTGAACAAGTTTTTGTCCTCTTTCTTGTTCACTTCCTATAGGAAGTGGGCTCAGCATATCTTTGTATTTACAGCATGCCTCATTTAATGTAAAAATATATTGCCATTCACTGTTTCCTCTGTGGTTTTCTTCATGAAGTGCAAAAAGTAACATATTTTGTGTAAAAAATTGGGGGGATAAATCCATCCAAAAAAAGTCTATGTTGATCATTGTCTTTAGTACTAATGTTAGATGTAGTGCTCATCAGTGCTATTTTTATATTGTTCTAATAATTGACCTCTAGCAATTGAACTTTTCGGCTGGACTTCTTCTGCATTGAGAAGACTTGGGCCTTGGCTAGTTCTCCTAATATCAGCACCCTTGAGCAAGTTTCTTTGGCAAATTAAAATTGCTACGTGTATTCAAAGAGAATCGATGAAAGAAAAATGATACTATGCAAAGAATTTAGGAAAATGTTACAACTATAGTAATGAAATGCGTGTTAAGAAAAAGGGTTCATTGTCATATAAACTTTGACATTTTTCACTTTTGACAATTTAATTGAAACTATTGAATAATTGCAATATAATCTCTACCTTGTGTTACTTTTGCAAAACGAACCTAAAACCTATATATTAAAATAATATTTGCTTGAAAAATTCCCCTCGCGTCGGAACCCTATCCCCAATTCCCCTCTCGCAACTTTTCAATCTCTGGTGGAATTGCCTTCCTCGGTGACGGCGGAGCTAGACTAGGGGTCGTCATTGACCGTTCCCACCCCCCCTTCCTTCCCGGCGAATCGCACCCCTGTTGATGCTCTATGGCCCATTGACGGTGGCGTCGGTCTGCGGTTGCTGCTGGAATTCTGGATAGCGGTGGCGTCCCTCGAGGTCGATGCAAGGCTGGAGATAGGAGTCTTTCTTTCAGTCACCGGTGGAGCAGCGATTGGTGAGGGCGAGCCCGTTTTCTCTCCCTTGTCACTGACTGCTGGTTTTGGCTGATTCCGACGGAGTTTATTCTTTGCTGGGGGGGCCTGGCCCTCTTGTTGGTGGTGGTCCGTGGTGGTGACGGGTGGAGTGTGTAATACCCTATATTTTTAGTAAGTCAGTAAATCAGTAGAAGTTATTCTGTAAATCGGTAAAAGTTATTAATAGTTTATAGATGATAAGTAAATTATTTTCAAGATTAAGTTAATATGGTTTTTACAAGAGAAAATATCACAATCTCAAAGTAATTATGAAAAAAAAAA